ATATATATAGTAAGTAATAATATTATTAAATGTTATATATTAATAATATATTATTATTATATATACGACTTGCGGACCTTTTTTGCTTGATCTCTATTTTTATTTAATTTTGAAATCATGCTAGTTATTTTTATTTACTGTATTCATACTACTCGAGTAGTGCAGTGATACTGTAGAGCGGTCCACCGTCCACATGGGGAAGATGCTCTGGCGGAAACCAAAGGCGGACTTCTTACGCCTCTCTTGTACGCCGATCGAAACGCAGGAGCCACCAAATAGCAGTTTAGGAAGGTTTTTTGATGGCAGTAGAGGGCTTGTTTATTGAGTAAAATTTCAAAAAAAAAACAAAACTATGCCTCAGATTAGCATTTTGGCACATTAATCCTTGCAGGCAACAATCCAGGTCAAAGACTGGTGCGCATATGTTGCTGGTGCTCATGCCTATGCTTTCATCATAGGCAACCTACAGAGCTAGCCAGTTACAAAGATTATCTAAATTGGACTTGTGTAATCTTCTAAAATGTAAACTATTTAGTTTTAAGCATAAAAATCATTTGATTAATCCATGCTAACATCTCAAACTCTTGGGTGCAGTTTAAAAAATTAGGAGTTAGAAGTTTAGATTAGAGATAACGACTCGATAAACTGTGATTTGGGCAATAAGACAATAATAAAATAAAATTATGCAATCATTAAGTATAAAACTTGTTTTGTGGCAACTAAATTACATAGATTAATTAAAAATGAAGGGATTAAAAATTAATTGCATTAGTAACAATGATATTTAAGATTAATTGGTACAAAAAATTAATTAATTGACTAATTATGGCTGATTAGCACTTATTTTTTTATTTGATGACAATTCATCAGATTCTAGTTAATTAATGCTATAACGATTCATCATATGGTAAATGAGCAATGATATAGAAATAATGTCACAAGTTGAGCAATCCCAAATTCCCAATAACTAGAAATGATAAATGATGCAACATGCAAATTTAGATATATATTATTTTCAATACTTTAGGAATTCTTTTCATTTAAAGTATCATTTTAGATTTATTATGTTTATAATACAAAAATATGTATGAATTATCATTTTGGATAATTTTAAGTTTGTATTTGAATTAGTTTGAATAAAATTATACCATATTTCAAAATTTGTCCACTTTTAGCACCCACTTTCTCTTCCCTTCTCTTTCCACCGCCCAGCTCTATATCAATTTTGGTATGAGAAACTCCTACTTCCATCAACTTCTGCTCAGGCACTCATCTCCTACAATATGATTCCCCACTCAAGATCCATGCCCAAATTCTCTGCATGCACCCTATGCTCAATCTCCATCCGCACCCACCCGGTGACAAATCGCCTTCATCACATTTCACAATATTAATCTGGTGATATTGATTAACAGTGGATTATTTTGGCTTAAACAACAAGGATTATCTTGGATAATTCAAAGATAATCTCACATAGATGTATCAAAATATAGGAATTAGGAAAAATTGCTCCTTTTGTTGAAGAGCATTTTCATCTTGTGTTCATCTTTGATGTATTACAAAGTAAATTCATTAAGGTTGAGATGTAATTTTTAAATTTGTAACCTTGAAAAAGTGAATTCATTAAGGTTGAGATGTAATTTCTAAATTTGTAACCTTGAAAAAATAAGGAGAGATATCCTCCTTCCTATTTAGTAAAGGTTTAGATGTCTTCTCCATGGATAGTCAATACCTCAGTCAAATTGAGTCAATCTAACAATATGTATCTAGGTTTCCAGAGCTCCTCCATGAGTTTTGAAGACTAAATGAATAAATAACAAGAATGTTCTGCTGCTATTGTTGATTTAATCACATTCTTTACCCGAAAACCATTTTAACACACCTAGGGAAGACGGCTCTATATGTGTGTTGACTAGAATTCAAAGATCACGCTATACTAATGTTCATGTTTGACATCTTCTTATCTTTCTTTATATGTTGTGTTGCCTCATTTTTATTTTTATGCTGCATTTTTTAAAGCAAACAAAGTTGTATGTCCTAAGAAAGTTGAAACATGTTTGATAAGTTGTGCATAGATAAATCTCACTTGTAAGAAAAATAGTGCAGGTGAATGATACCATCTGGAGATGCGCAGTTCAATAATTTTAATTAACTTTCAAACTACTTTGAATTGTATATTATTACAATTTACAATCATTATAGAAAGCATATGTAAATACAAATATTAATAACAAACCTATAAAAAAATAATCAAAAATATATTAACAAGAAATAAACCACTTTTACATAATCAAACATTTATAATTACTTTTATCTTATAAATAATTGCTTGACTAATTTATAGGGAGACTAAATGATACAAATATAATTTTTAACTTGATATGGAATAGTTATTAAGTTGTTTATACTTATTTTTACAAATAACATTACTTTAAATAATAGTAATAAGTAATGAATATTTAGCATAGTTACTATCTGGGCTAGACATTTATTATATATATCCAAGATGACCATAATATTATATATTTGCAATTTATGAATTTAGAAATATTCAGATATTACAATGTACGGTAACCTGCTATAAGATAGAGTAATATTAATTTTATCTGAAGAAAAAACACTATGACAACTTTGCTAGTTCAGGTAGTTATCATATTAAATGCTTATAAAAAATGATACACTAAATTCATGCTTTAGGAACAAGTGAAAATACCTCAAAGTGTGCTTCCTGGATTTCAAAGGTCTAACTATTTGTTTTTGAAAATAAAACTATTTTAGCTGAACATGAATGTTGAGCTTATTTCTTATTTCATCATCAGCATCATTAATATTATCCCAACTATTTGGGATTCTTTAAGGACTCATCTTAATTGGGTGTAACATTATATCATAATTTTATTTCATGTAGATATTTTTGTGCTAACTTATAGTTGTCATCATTTTTATACCACTTTTCCTCCCTCAATATTTGAGTATTAATTCTCTTTAGTCATTGTGTTTGGGCATCCTTTGCTTTTCAATGTAAATGCACTCATATGATCAGCATTTATATTTGACACACTAATTACAATAATTATTAAAACAATCATCTCTGTAATATAAGCACTTTTTCACTCTATCCATCTTAGTTTACAATAAATTCATCTAAATATTCTTACTTTCACCACACTCAACCTGACTATCACCGACTTCTTAGTTGCTCAACAGTTAAGACCTATATGGCAAAGTTGGCCTAATTGTATTTTTAAGTTTAACATTGAATTCGTGATGATATACTTTCCTAATAACTCCTAAGACATTATCCATCTTAACCATTACATTTTAATATTTTGTGTTTTCATTAGCATCCTCCTTTTTTATATATAATTAGTAAAAATGAGCACGACATTGTGCTTATATGAGCCAAACAACTATAAAACTCCTCATCATAGTTGTAATAAATTTCTACGAAAAACATGCAAATAATGAGAGCAAAATCATAGAATTATACAGAAGAACACTAAATCAAAGAAAATAAACTAGAATGATGCGAGACAGGTGCTCTATTCTCCATGTTATGGTGACTTGAGTACCCTAGCGGTGACTGTACAAGAGGATAAGTGAGGACAGATAAATCAAATCTTCAAGTAATGATGAATGTATGGTTTTAATAATTGAGAATGTTATTAGTGCCTCAAAATTCATGTCAACACCCCTCCCTAGAAATACACCCTATCTACTCACAAGGGGTGCAAACTTTCCTGAAAAACCAACCTTCATTTCCAAGTAGAGCAATCATGATACTTATCATAATTAGAGTGTCATGTCGTGCATAATATGTCTCCGAGATAGTTATGTCTGCCAAGAGGTGTACAAATAGTTATAGAATTTTTTGAAAAAAAAAAAAGTGAGACAAGACAAATGATTTGTCTGAAACAATATTCTCAATTGATCAAGAGTTCTGTGAATATTGGTGATAACCTGCTATATATTGGGTTTATAGGTGCAAAATATAAAGGGAGAATGCTGCTTTTATTTCCTTGATTATCAGTTTCTCTTAATCACATGTTACATCCCCAACTGAAATCCCTGCAAAACTACCTGTCTACTTGGCCTTCATCATATACAGATGAAAAAAATGATGAACTTTATCTTAAACTATAAATTCTGGTTGAGTGTAACAAAATATGGGCAAAAAAGTATGCACATATTATCAAAACATAGCGATAGAAAATGGACAGACATTCAAGGGGATAAGAACTCAAGAACAAATTCAACCTAATTGACTAGATAGAATAGTTGCATAAGTGAAAAGTGAGAGCATACCTGCCACAAAACCAGAGAAGAAAAAATTCACCCATGCAAAAGTAAGTGACTGAAAGGAAAATGGGGGCCACAATCAAAAACTTATAATGCAAATATTCAAAAAAAATCAGTTCAGTACCTGGGGTATGATCATCGAAAGGTTCTTCTTCATCATATCCATTGCCATGTTCGGATCGGAAAACATTTGTGCTTGAGGATTCTGAGCTTGGCCTTTTGGGACATGTAAAAGCCCATTTTCCTACATCATCAAATGATTTAATTTCAGCAGAAAGATATTTGTCCCCGTATAAAATTGGTTATATGCTACTCATTTCCCAGCAATGTTGTCAGTCCTAAAAATCAAAATTTTCTCAAGTTAACATCATTTAAACATGCAATGATAAGCCGCGAATGTTTGGTTTTATGCCATTTAGGATATATTGGGGCATCTTTTATAGCTTTTCTTTCTAAAAAGTTGCAAAGAAATTTTATTTGACAACTTTATTGCTGCTTTTCAAAAACTTTTGAGGTGAGAGATAACATTTTTACAACTGGATATACTAGAGTGTGATAGCTGTAAGTAAACCATTGTCTGATCTTTTTTCAAAAGAAAAGCGTCTATAATACCACAACTTAAAAAATATGCTTTCCAAAACAGTTCTGCAACTACTCCCAGAGATAGTTGTAGCGGCCCTTATCAAGCCCTTAGTATGCAGAATTGCAATGTTACCAAGATTACTTGCACATTAACGATAAAGCTTAGCAGATTGTACTGAGTTTGAAAAGTCATTCAGAATGCAATTCAGCCTTTTATCCTTAGTGCTGGCATGTAATTTAGATGGTCTTGGTTTTAAAATTGAGATATAACACTGAAACGGAATTATTTTGTAGAATTCATGGAAAGCCATGATAAACGAATTTTTTTTGTAAAGAAAATACTGAGATCTAACAAGCCAACTACTAGTATTATGTTGATATTGTCCACAAAGTTGCTGGAAATTTTGCAGGAAAAGGCATCAAACGACTCGAGTATTGAGATATAATAAGCCAAAATCTTTCTTCGAACACAACTCAATGGGCTGAAGTAATATATTAGATATTGATGTTGATAGCAGGAAAAAAAATTAAAAGCAACTCAATGTTTATTAAACCACCTCGTTGGTATAGTAAAATCTCCGAGCACGGAACGACTTCACAGGAATAAAACCCCCCGCTGCCCTGAGGTTCCTTGCCCTAAGAATCAACTGCCTGCGATCCACAAAAATCCAATCAGCCAAAGATCTATAACCACCCAATTCATGCAACGGAAGGAATCTTGCCTTGGGGTTTTTGAGACAATGGACGACTCACCCTTCTCTGACTACCTTAGCGTCGGGGGTCTGGGAGGATCGCAAAAGCTTGGAAACGAAATAGCGGAGGACACCGATGAGTACCATCACTACCGATAGAGGTACCAGGACCCAATCCCTTATAGCTGTGTCGAGCACCAGATCTTCCGCCATTGAATCGATCCCGAGTTGCTCAAAAGCCGGCGGCCAAACAAAGCAGAGGAGCGAGATCCACGAGACTGTCTTTGAGGACCAATATATACTAATTTGATAAAAAAAATTAATGAGTATTATAATAATTATTATTATTTACTTTTGCTTTTTTTTATTCTAAAATAAAAATTTTAAATAAAATTAGAACTGATAGATTAAAATTAGTTGAAGATTTCTTCTCCCAAAAATTAGTTTTAATTTATTAAAATCTTTCAATTGAACATTTATTTTATTATTATCAATTTGTCATTATAATTTGATGTCAATATAATATTGCATCTTTTTGTAACCTTTATAAATTCATTTGGGACAATTTTTTTTACTATTTTTAATGTAATTTTTTAGTACAAAATTTTCTTAAAGCTGCAAAAAAAATAGTGGAAAAAAATATGTCCTAAAATATATATATTTATATACTATATTAATTTTTATTGAAAGATAAATTCATAAACCGAAGAGTCTGGGGACTCAACACGATTCAATTCACAGTCAGTACAATTCACTCCCTTCGAAGAGGCAACCGAAGGGGGAGAAACAACCTTAGGGGGCAAGGAGTATCCAAAGCTTTAGAATTAAAATCACCCACACTACACATCGGCTTAGCCATAGTGGCCAACACGGTCCAAACCAGAACCAGTGGGAAGAGGTGGAGGCAATTCTGCTAAATTTTCCACACTATTAATAGCAAAGCTCATCTCCATTCCCAACTATAATTGGCTATTAGGATTACAATCACAATCAAGATTAGCTACAGGATAAACCTTATTACAAGTATTAGGATCGAGCAGAAGCAACCAAATCGCTTGCAACATGCATGAGCTTGAAACACGGAGACCGCACCAGACTGAGCACCAGCAACACCAGAGCAATAGAGCCTCATGAATCGGACACAGGAGCAACAGGTCAGGGCCCTCCATACCTTAATAAACCTTTCTCCACCCGGATAACAGTCACAGAGGGAATAGGGGGGAGAGAAAGGCAAAGAAGAAGCAATAACACGCACCATTCAGGTGTGACCAAGATGTTTTGCATGACACAAAATTCTGGAAAAACTTCCATTTGCACCTGTTGGATGTATCCTGCAACCTCAGCCTAAGCCAAATTTGCGAAGGATGAGTTTTAGTAATGTCTAATCTCACTAGAACACACGCTGATGAAGGCCGAAAACCACAGAGGTGGCGTTGTCAACCTTTAAAGGTTCCCAACACATCGAACCCAACGCATGGAGGATCCGAGAGAGAACAGATGCGGCCTAAGATTAGGAAAATGAGATCCAAATCAGAATGACTGAGGATTCAAAACCAACATCCAGGTAAAGGAGACCATTTAGACAATTTCATGAAGCAGTTATACACTAAATAGGATTGATGACAAAAAAACTCTACTATAATCTAGATCATTATATAGTTTAATTAGGATATGCATCTGATCCAGAACTGTAACAGAGAAATCAGAATGCAGCTTAAGAGAAAAGAAAAACTCCGAATCGAGTCCAGAGACGGACGCTTAGTCGGAAGAAACCAACTAAGGCAAATTGAAAGGGCTTGGGAGAGAGAAGCAATTTCTCTTCTTCGAAATCCAGAGTGAGGGAAACCACGAAAAGTAGTTTGACAAAGCTCAGGGAAATGAAGCAGTTGACGACAGCCAGAAACAGCTTCAACAAACGAAAGCGATTTAAACGGAACCATCCAAAATCCCAGATCAGCCACCCGTGTCACCACCATTCGGCAAAATGGTCGGAGGAGGTAATACGAAGCAACCCAACTCGAAAAAACCAAAAGAAAAAGAAAACCAGAGAAGAAGGAGCGAACTTCCTTGAAGCCACCAAGATTCGACAGTAGAAGTTCACAAAATCGCACCGGAGATAGGGCTAGGCCACTAGGGCGAAGCCCTAGCAGAGCGAAAGAAGAAAAATCTAAAGATTAAGTAAATAGTGGAGTTGAAAAGTTAATATATATTATAGTATTAATATATTATATATATATATTATATATATATAATATATATATTATATATATATATATATATTAAATATATATATATATATTGTACGGTATCACAAAATCAATCTTGATCAGCACGAATCTCGAGGCAAAAAGCTAGTTGGAAACTTCAAAAATAATTTCGGAGCATATGAACTCGATTTTCAGTGAGCCTCAGTCAAACTGAGCGTCTCGGGAAATACGAACCCAACGACACCAAGATCAACCCATCCAAGCCCAAATGAGTCCGAATCAAGGGTTCAAAGCGCTGTTGGAAAGGTTCAAACCGCCAATTGAGTTACCAAACGGTCTCCATTTTGACGAGCTATACTCGAATCGAACGGATCGACGAGACGAATCCAACGAGCCCAACATCATCGAATTCTGCATCAATAAGGCCTTCAAATGTCCAACGAACGGTGCATGATCAAAGGATTCGATATCAGCCGTCCATTCAAACCACTCCCTGTTCGCCCTTGATCTCACGCCTATTTACGGGCTATGCCACTCCAGATAAACTATAAATAGAGAGCCTCATTCTACACCAAAGTGACTCAAAGTGAAGATAGAGAAAAGAGAGAGAAAGGGGAAAAGAGATTCCTCACCTCCTCGACCCACCGCCGGAGCTCTTCCTGCGCCTGAAGACGCCGGAACTCTGCCGGATTTTCAGAAACGCTGAGAATTTGCACAACTTCCACGTGATGCTGAAATTCTTCTCAATTTGCAACAGAGATTCCCATTCTGACGCTGAAACTCTACCCAAGGAGCCGGAGTTCTCCTTTGTCAACAACAGACGTCGGACTTCTAACCCGACGTTTCGAACCTTCACTCTTCGCTAAGTTATCTACCGACGCGGACTTCTAATGGTTATTGGACTTCGCTAGATGTCTAGCTAAGATGGAAATTCTTTCCAATGCTGGACTTCCTACCTGACGTTCATCCTAACTGTCTTCGCGTCAGACTTACAGTCCTTGCCGACCTCGTGTTCACCAAGCCGACTACGATCCTCCTGACTTAACGTCGCCGCCGAACTAAAGTCTTTCCGACATCTCGCGCCCGTTAAATACGTCCTCCTAATTATTCGCACCGCCGACTACGGTCCTCCCTGACTTAACGTCGCCACGCCCGACTATAGTCCTCCGTCGCCAACTGACTACGATCCTCCTGACTACGTCGCCCGCCGACTACGGTCCTTCCGACCAACACGAACATGTCAACAATGACTCTTGTATTTACATCATGTAATGTATCTCCACTATGATGAATTAAGCTAAGGCCTTCTTCCCCAAGGAGGGTTCATTTGTATCGACTGCAAATGCCTTAGTGGATCTCGTTCAAAACTGGGCTAGCGCCATGGTTTTTTTCCCCTTTTATAGGGTGTTTTTCCAGCGTAAAAATATTGGTCGTCCTTCATTAAATGCTAGACTCTCTCTCTTATCTGATTGGCGTAGCCAGATTTTCGACAACGCTCAAGGCGATAAACTTTTATATTTCTTCTACCGCGCGCCCGAATACCCTGGACGCAACATATATATTTATTATTATTCATTATTATTATGTTACATAACATATTGTTTTGCAGCTATTACAACAAAACAAAATTGATTATAAAAACATTACTTTTTCACCACATTAATTTATGAAATGAAGCAAAAACATAGAAATGTGATTTGAAAAAACAAATTATTAAAGAATATCAAGAAGGATCCTTAACCCACTCGAGTTAAGTCCTACTTGTAGCCAACAAACCCAAAGTTTTTTTTTTTTTTTTTTTTTTCTCTCATAAATTCAGTTCTAGTTTGCTGATTTCTGATATATATTGACAGGTGAGTGAGAGGAAATCTCTCATTTGACTGGAGCTAGGTGAAGATCCTTTTAAATGATGAGGTTGTGATAATAAACTTTTTCACGACAACCTCAAACTCCTGTTGTCACCGAAGGAGAAAAAAGGTTGCAAGATACTACACCAAGGTAATTCAATATTACACTTGTCATCAATTGGAAGAAAAGGGTCATTAATATTAGCTCTGATACATTTTATTGATCTGTGAGAGCAGAAATTCCATGGGAGTTAGTTGGTTGGTTTAGAAGTTAATGCTTTGAGGTTACTTGTGCGGTGATTCTTTTGTCAGTGAGCTGTTTACTTCATTTGGCATCAACCCAAGATCTTATTAAGGTACTTAATATATTCATTATTTTGAAAATTATATAATATTATATATATATATATATATTCATTATTTTGAATATTTCATTCGAATATCAAGAGAGATGCCAGTTTTTTTTTTACTGTTTAGCTTAATGAGTTTTAAAAGAACCAATCCAAGAAGGATTTTTATAATGAAATTGAAATCAGTTGTTATTGCTAGAAATGGTAGAAAGTAGAGCATTCTAATATAAATTTCTCAAGGAATTAGAGATGCAATCAGGAGGAGTTTAAAGGGCTCATATGAGCTTTCCTCATTGAAAAAATATGAAGTTATCATTTATAAACTTTTTTTTGCTAACATTCAGATTTTTATTCCATATTTAACTCATGTTATTACTCACCACATTAATATTTTGTTTGGGACAGTTTTATCATATAAATTAAAATATTTATACTATAAAACTGTTTTAAAAAGAAATAAAAAAGTCATCCCAAATGAAGTCTAAGATACATTCTATAAATCACTTTGAAACAGACTTCAAAAGCAATCATGTTCATTCATTAACTTCTTAAACTTTCATGAAACGACTGAAATATACTTAGCCACATTTGCTATTATCATTAAAATCAAAATGTTGCCTTTTCAAATGTGCATTAGAGTTTCTACTTCTTCAAATGAATAACCATTGCCATTCTGTATAGCAACCCACGAGTTCACATTTAATCAATTATTTTCCAAGCAAGCTTAATCTTTTTATAAGAATTCTATGCGAATATTTGAATTTGTTTTACTAGTTTTACTTCTCACTCACTCCGTTTACAAACACCGC